CCGGGCCAGCAGCAAGGCCACGCGCCGACCCCACGGGACCAGAAGGCTCCATCACCCAGAAGCCTTCCTCTATCTCCTATTAAACACTCACGTTCATCACAGGAAGCGTCTGGCATTGTTACCCCACTCCATGCTGCCTCAGAATCATAGAATCAACTGGGTCAGGAAAGACCTTTAAGATCATCAAGTCCAACCATTCCCCAGCACTGCCAAGGCCACCACTAACCCATGACACTGAGGCCTCATCTACAATGGTGTGTGAACACTTGCAGGGACGGTGACTCCAGCACTGCCCTGGGCAGCCTGTTCCAATCCCTGAGCACCCTCTGGGCAAGGAATTGTTCCTCAGCTCCATCTAAATCTGCCCTGGTGCAGCTTGAGGCCGTTTCCTCTTGTCCCATCCCTTGTTCCTTGGGAGCAGAGACCAGCCCCCTCCTGGCTCCATCCTCCTATATTGTCATCTAACCCTAGACCAGATTTGAACCCGATACTCGGTGTTATCAGCGTTGTTCCCAGGCTGAAAGTGAAAACCACAGCACTGCACCAGCTGCTAAGAAGGAGAAAAAGTGACTGCTGTAGCTGAACCCAGGACAGCTTCCCAGTCCTCTTACCAAACTATTGCTCTGTTAAAGTATGTCTGTTACTCTTCTTTGTTTAGAGTTGTGTTTGTTGACCCTTAGACTTCATTTTTAAAAGGTAAATATGTATCAGACATTTCCTGATCACAGTAAGCTATGGATAGATAGATACAGAAAAATATTAATTAGCACAATAAGCTCTTCATATGTGTATATGTATGCAGTAATTTACACTGCTGTGTGCGCTGGAAGCTCTTCCGTAATAGCTTCAGAGTAATAGTGTCACGTTCATTTTTTTAGATGGCCAGTTACAGAGTAAGCTTTTAATAAAAAGGTTTTCACAGAGGTGACTGGTGGTTATTTCTAGTCTGTGTCACCAACCACAATAAGCTTTCACTAGGTAATTGTTGCCCTGGAGACAGAAGCAGATACACGTTTTCTGCTGAAGATGGTATCAGTCTCATTCCTTTTGACTTATTATATTTTTCTCATTTGTTGTTACCAGCTATTTATTGGAACCATTTTTTAAATAATCATGATCCCAAAGAAATGATAAAAATCTAATGAGATTGGCAATAAGGTGAATAATTTAAAGTCTGCTAAAATCAATGGAAAGAAGATTTCCTAAATTTCAGGTGTTTATGGAGCAAGTCTTTCCAGCGGGACTGATTCTGTGTTGTGTTCACATGATTCTCAAAAGTGAAGGGAAGTTACGCACTTAAATCCAATCTTTCTCAGAAAAAGATGGGTCCTAGTATTATCTCCCTTCAGCAACCTGATGGGCTGGAGAGCATCCTGCATTGGCCACCTTTGGCAACAGTGATGTTGTATGGCTTAAAAATACATTAGGTGTTAACATCTCAGCAAATAACCAAAGGAAAGTTCTGCTCTTGTGCTTAGTTTTATAATTTCTGCTTTTCTCTATCCTATTCAAGGATGATAAAATGGGGGGGAGGGGAAGTGAAATATCAGAAATGCAGACTGTGGAAAAAGAGATTGTTTGTAATAAACTCATTAGTTTTAAACGTTGCAGCTGTTAAGTTTTGTAATGTGGGCCTGCAGCCCCAGATGCCTATGAACTCAGGATGAATTTAACTTGTAGATTCTGGAAAAAATAAGAATTGCTTTAAGCATGTTTCTTTGCCCTGCATTTGTTCCTGACCCAAGGACATTGTAAAACACTGTATCTTTAAACAGCTTTCACTCTGAATGGCAGCTTTAGATAGTAGTTATTTCACATTGTCAGGTGTGTTCTTAAGATCGCTGGCACTATATATAAATTGCAGATTAATGTGCTGTTTCAATGAACAACTTTCATTTAGGTCACTGGTACTGATCAGCAAGTATCAGAGTCAAGCTTGGGTGAGAGGAACATGACCGTGGACTTCAGCACACAAGGTGATCATAGCATTGTGTTTGTCTACTTGAGAAAGATGTAGTAGGGGTTTTGAGTGGACTTTTCCTTCTCTTCTGCCTTTCCCCATGGGTAAAGAAGGATTTGCTTTCAGATTGTTCACAGTCATAAACTGATGTGGCTGGAAATGCAGAGGAGAGTTTTGCTCAACAAAGCATGCTTTATGAAGCCCTTTGAGGCAGGTGTGGCAACTGTTGTTTCTCTTTGAAGAGTCACACACATAACTGGCAGTTTGCTTCTCATTGTCAGCAACAATGGGTGCCTTCCTGATAGTCCATATGCCTTTTCCATTAGTAGTTTCCTGCACGGCTTCCAGAAGCCTGAATAAGAAGCTTGCTGACTGAAATGTAGATGTTGTGAATGCAAGTAGATGAGTAGCTGCAGAGAGCCCGTTTGTTTAAAGTTTAAGTTACTAGAATGGGCCTCCTTACACGTCTGTTACTATGAAGGGCTTTTGAAACATTACAGCCTCAGTGGATCATGAGATGTTAAGCAGTTTGTCTGAAATATGTATTTTAGTAAAACTTCCATTAAATGCTTTTTCCCTATCACATTCATGTTGTATTGATGAATAGCCTGGGAGGTGTTCTCAGTTAGTGCACTTATGGGCCGAGGGGTGGTGACAATGTGGTCCAAGAAACAGAAACAGTCCCCTCTCCCCTAGCATCCAGAGTGAGACTGATAGCCTAACAGATCAGTGAGGAGCTTCTCTTCCTACACACACAGGGAATCTGTTCTGTGAAGCAGGATTTTAGTTCCCAGAGCCACCAGTGGCCACCTTTAACTCTTGCTAAATAGTGATTTATTTTTTAAAAATGCCCTGCTGTTTGACAGCTGCAATGGAGTGTGACACTGAAGGTGACTAGTTTCTAAGTGCTGCTGTTAACAAGTGCTGCTGTGTCTACAGAAGCTAGTTCCTTAGTTCATACATAGATTTGGATTTCACACGCGCATATGGAAGTCTAAATTTTAAGGGGGGGAAGGGAGAGGAGAGGGGCAAGAAGTCTTCATTTTTCTCTGCTTGTTTTGCAGTTTCTGTCGAGAGCACCTCTTTGATGGTTTCTGAGACTGTTGATAACCCAGACCGTAGTTACTCCTCTGAAGATCTTTGTTCGCTGGAAGTTCAAGGGTCTCTCTACTCTGCAGATCTTTCTCCCTGCTCTACAGCCCCCAAAGAGCCTATGGACCAGAGCTGCAGCACCCGCTGCAGGTTCCACAGAACTCACTCAGAGGGTTTTCCTGACGAGGATGACAGTTCCCACAGCCAAGCCTCTACTGACAGGTCTCAAGGACTGGAAAAGAACTGTGCCTACGGCAGGTCCTTGGACTGTTCCTCAGAGAATTTCAGCCTGTCAGAACTGCAGAGTTCTGCTCAAGGGAGCAATGCCACGCCACCTTTGAAGCAAAAGCAGATCTGCTGTGCAGACGTTAGCCAGCCTCCTGCCCCTTCCCAGACCTCTCCCTGTTTTGGGCCCACAAATGCTTCATCATACACAAGTGGCAAAGAGAGTGCGGTCCAGCAGCATCATGTTACAAATCACCGAATTTCAAATATAGTCCGATCAACTAGTGACCCCGTCTCATGTTCGTCTTGCACAGAAGGTAGGTATAGTACCTCAGGGCTGGTGGAACATGAAACGAATGAATGGTGTGTGATTTATGCAGCAATTGGTGCTCCTGGAAATGACACAAAGCATTCCAATGAGGGTTGGCTTAGGCGTGACGGCCTTAGTTCCGTGCGTCTTTGGAAAATCTTCTATTACTGTTATATTGAGAAAGTAAACTAAGAAGCTGAGTAGTAACTGGGGTCTGTTTAGGAAATGATTGCCTGGGCTGTCATGCCAGTAGTACAGTGGGTTGTGTTTCCTGCAGGTGATGCTACCACTGATGGTGTTGGCACAAGTCGGAGGCAGGCAGAGTGTGACTGCGTAGCGGCAGGTTGGAGTGTACAGTGACAATTTTTAAGTTACAAAGAAATGAAAGATGAAGCCCATGACAAAATGATAAATGAAAACGAAGGGTTTTGGCTGTTGTGGACAGGCGTCTTTTGCTATGAATCTCCTTTTAGGCAACTAGGGAAGACAAGAGGAAACATTGTTAGCTGAACAGTGTTACCTTCATAAAAATCTGCTTGTTAGTGGAGAAAACAAGTTTAATGTAGTTGAGAATAGCTCGATCAGAGGGACATAGAACTGTTCAACCATTTGAAAGGTGCAGGTGTTACAATAGGAATAAAGCTGTTTAGAGAGATTCAAATGGGTAACCTGGAAAAGTGGCTTGAAAGCAAAGATTACAAGCTTTGTAAAGATGTCACAGATTGTGCTGTTCCAGATTCATTCACTGGGTTTTCTAAGGGCTCTAGAGGAAGAATCACGTGACTAGCTCTAAACAAGTAGACAAAATGCTGGTTTCATTTAGGAAGAGGAGTTGTTGGTTTTATTACACTTTTTGCATCATTTCTGCAAATTTCAGAGATCTCATACTTAGCTCAAGAAGTGCATGTCTTTTATCATTAGAAGTCTTGCACATCCTGTCCAGGAAAAGCGAATCTTTAATCTAGAAGTCTGCATTTATTTTAGGAAATTTACTCTGCTAGGATAGACGTGCTATGAAGCTGTCATGCAGCCACTAAAGAGGAATTTCTGAATCCTTTATACTGTGCCAAAGACAAGAACAGCCCTCTCTCTTCTGGGTCCCACTCTGCAAGTTTTCAGTGTTGTGCTCTGCATGCTCTGAGAGATTGCTGCAGGCAGCCATATCTACGTGTTAAGCTGACTGCTGGGACACCTGGCAGAACAGATGCTGTGCCTTCATTTTTAACCTGTCCTAAATACGTCCATCATCTTTTCCTCAGAAGTGGTATTATGGGAATTATTTTGGTTAATTTCCAAGTTCTTAGCCCTACATGAGTTGAGGGATACAGTTTGAACGTTACCAAGATGTGACTGGTCGTAGCAAAGATTTTAATAAAGGAGTAGGGATGGTTCTAGAGTTACTGATCTATACACAGCAGAGGGGGAGGAAGAGAAAGAGTAACTTGAAGGGAATGTGTTTGTGCTTACCTAATTTGCTATTCTTTTTGCTGCCCACAGAAGACTCTTTAAAATGAAATCCTTAGCAGAAGCAGTTGAGTCTAGATGTGCATGTTTTCATTTGCCTGTTTGGTAACAACAGCTTGCAAAACTTTACTTGGTGAAGGTTTTCACATCACTTCTCCTTCCTCTGCTGTTTGTTGAACTCTATTTGGAAGGCGTACACCGGGGAGATGCAGCACAATTCTGATAACATGTAGCAGCCTTGAAGCTGTGGCGCACAGCTGAAGTTTTTTACAGTCCTTGTAACTTTAAAAAAGGCATTTGATCTGGATTTTTCAAAACTGGCTATGGGTATTCACTGCAGAACCTTAAAATACATCCACAGGGTTGAACAGTAGGCAAAGATAAAGGGAACTGACTGAGCTCCATCAACACAGAAGAAAAGGCCTTTGGGGTTTGTTGGCATTCTTTTGTTTGGTTGGAGTTTTGGGGGGTTTGGGTTTTTTGGGTTCTTTTTTTCTTTTTAGTAACATGTAACATACACTTACTTTTTAAAATCGTCTTGGAGTAGAACAACTCGTCAAATAGACTGACCATATGAAAGATAGAGCTTTAAGTACGTGTTATTACCACTGACAACTCATGTAAGAGACATACTGTAGATTTGCACATTTTCCTGTCTTCTCCCCATAACGTTTATCTTGGCAAAGGAAGACAAAATGAATGTCTAGCACTGATGCTTGTAACAATAAACTTAATCTGCAATCAAATATGATAGACTTTGTGGCTATATCAGTTAAGTGCCTGAGCAATTACTGTAGTGACATGTGTTCCAGGTAATTCAGGATAATGTCTAGTGGTAGAGTTTTGATTGTGCCACCAGTACATTAAGCAGGATAATAAATGGATGGGAAGATGGAATGTCTGAAGTGTCTCCTCATAATAAGCATGCCATGATTCATGTGTTGCAGTACTTCAGCATAATAAAACAAATTAAAGACAGAATAGAAGCTGTCTCCCTTAATTTCTTACAGATTTCCTATGTTTGTGGCACCTTACATTTCTTTTACTTCATTTAATTATCCATTCTACCAGAGAGGATTATACCAGCTTTTCATTATGAACTTTCCCTGCAGATATGGAAGAAAATCTCATCTAATCTACCTAGACTTTCAAAACAGTTTTCAGTCTTGGAAACAGATGTCAACATCCTTAGCGTAAATGTGAAGGTTTGTTCCATGTTGACTGTCAAAAGCTTGAAATCCAGAAGACTGCAGCAGTAATTATAGTGATCTCATCGTCAGTGAGCCTTGTGCTGGCATCCCACAAACTCTGTTGCTAGAAGGCAGCTGTGTCCAGAGGTGTTTGTAGGTGCTCTGTAACCACTTGCTATTGATTGGATCATTGGTAACCACAGCAGTCACCTAACCATTAATTTAGTCTGTTGTGTATAGCATTTGTCCTGCTAGGAATGAGTATGTATAAAAGAAAGGAGGTAGAACTACTGAATAAAATGCTGGTTGCATAGAAATGAGAGAGGTTGATCCTTTTGTTTTTTCCATTTTCTAAAATAAACTGCCAAGGAAATACAGGAAAGTCTTGAGTCTGCCTCTCACAGGAAGCCTTCCATAGCTTCCGACCTTAGAAGCCTCAAGTATTGAGGGTCAGACAGCTGTGTAAGAGGAAATCATCAAG